TGACTATACAGTGCAATATAAATTAATATTATATCATTTTCAACCTTATTAATTTAACATTATCACAATTATTTTTTATCGTGCCGTTTAATTATTTCTACATGTATTTCCAATTATGTCAGTTTCAGTCCTCCATATTACTGCTGCTAGTGCTTACATCAATTTTTTACAATATTAACATATGATTCTGCCATTTCAATGATTCAAACACATTTACATTTTCAGGTAACTCCTTTAAAATTTAGACCAATGAGAAAGTGATTTTTCTGACCAATAAAAGTTCCTTCATTTGTTGAATTTTGAGTTWAAAAAATTAATTGAACCTACCACATGCTAGTCGACACTTCTCTTTCCTCTATAAATCACTGGAGGACATGGAATCGAAGTGAAATTAGTCATAAAGAATAGCACAGCATTTACAATTTCACACTGACACTGAAAATCTGACACTCACCTGTGCCCACGTCACTTCCTGAACAAGTGACTGTAAAAACAAAAGGCCAGACAAAACATTTTTAATGTCACTTTAATGCATCATGTTTTGATTCAGCTTTTTCAGTGCAGCAGATGAATTATTGCATTTTTTTAAGGGGTGGAGAGGTTCAACCATTATAACTGTGATACCTGAGTACATTCTCCGGGGGCAGAACAGAACTTTGCCGCCCTCTGGTGTGAGAGGAGCCACCACCACAGAGTAGACATCCCCACACTGGATATTTGTAATGTCACAGCTATTCTCTCCATGTGATGCAGTGCAGGTGTAGTTGTTGTTGACGCCCACCATCTCTGTAATGGTGCTGTGATTGCTGCCCGTGCTGCGCCAGTAAACTCGCAGGGACTTGCTGGCCATCGTGTACAGGCGGACACCTGATGGGCAGCAGATATCTGTAGGAGACCCACACTGATTAAGGAAAATGCTTTTACATTTTTTTTACATCATGCACAGGAAAAGTGCAAGAAGAGAAGAGATGCATTGCTTTTTTTCCTGTATAATCCTAGTGCAGGTAAATGCACATGAAGGATAAACTAATACAAACTAGAGAAACTGTATTTTTTGTGAAAATTCTAGTGAGAATGCTTCTAGCTGAAAAGCTTAGCTGAAAGCTGCTGACTTGGAGCTGAAAACGTTTTATAGCAAAACAGTTAATGCAAGTTCAATTTGAAATGAAAAAAGAAGCGTAAAAAAGCATAAATTAGTAGAAGAATAGCAGAAAGGAGCAGAATTATAGCTGAAATAGCAGGAAAAAAAATAAAGATAGCATAAAAATAAGCTAAACGTAGCAGCCACAAGTTGAAATTAGTACCCAGAGGTGAAAGTGTTGTAAGGAAAAAAAAAGTGATAATTTGTTGTAAAACAACTAAAATGTAGCTGTAAATTCTTTAATTTTTACAAGAAAGCACAAGGACCACAAGTTTGCTGAAGTTAGCAGAAATAAGTTGTAATAGCTACAAAAAAATGTGTATTTAGTTTAAAAACTTTAGCTAATAACAGCTGAAACATTAGCTAATAGCTGAATATAGCAGAAAGCAACTGTATGAAGCAGAAATAGCTCAAATTAACAGAAAGAAGCACAAAAAGTAGAAAGAAGCAGAAAGAATTAGAATTATAGCTGAAATAGCAGAAAAAAGCAAAAATTTGCACAAAAAAAGAAGCTAAAATTAGCACAAGAAAGTTAAAAAGAGCAGAACCAGAACAAGAGGTGTAAGGTGCTGTAAAGATTTAGAAACATTTTGCAGTATTTTAAGGACGTTGAAAAGAGCTCCATTCATTTTCATTGGGAAAAATGTGGCTGAAAAAGTGAAATAGCTAAAAAAGTATAAATAGCTGAAATACAAAAAGTCATAGCTGTAATGTCCTGAAGGAGCTGAAGGTTTAGATATATGAATTGTTAAAATAGGACAAAAGTTGAGGAAAGATATACGTGCCGAAAAATGTGCAGAAGAAAAAAATGATTTCAATGCGTTCACACAACTAACAGTTTAACAAATGTTAGAAACATCTTAAAGGTCATGTTTGAAACAACAGATCTGAGACCTGTGGACTCAAAGTATTTATAAGTACTGCCAGCTCACTGGAAGTAAAATAAAAAAGTCAWCACTCACTGGATGAGAAGCCCTGATAGGAGCAGTTGGACATTCGCCCACTGAGGCTGAACGCCTCCATGCTGACGGTGTAGYTTGTGCCGCAGGTGATGCATCCCATGAGGCAGTGGGAGTCCTGCGTGTGACAGCTGGCGTGACCGCGCGGTGATGTCAGCGAGGTGATGAACGAGTGAGCCCCTCTGGCCCCAGACCACGAGACATTAGTCATCGACTGAGTCACCTGCTCAACCATTAGGTTCACGGGGCAGCATGGCTCTGGAGGAAAAAGAAGTTAGTCATCTTTCTCTCACTGGTTTGTCCAAGACATTTACCGTTATGCCATTTATATTGCTCGTGTGAAAATACAAAATGTTGCTTAAATATGTTTTCTTAGGCTTTTATTGTTTAGTAATGAGCTGAACACGTATTTGCCTCTCACCTGTTTCTAATGAGACAGAGAAGCTGGGTAAACTCTGGCCAGCGCTGCTGAACGCTGAAACACTGAACTCGTAGGTCAAGCCGCAGTGAAGCCCCGTGACATCACAACTGTTTCCACTGGCGGTGCAGGTGGATGTGCCGGATTCTCCGTCTGCGCTCACCGTGTAAGTCGCGTTCCTGTTGTTGGCTGTCCAGCTGACACTGACAGAGGAGGGGGTTTTCAAACTCAGATTCAGATTTGTTGGCATGCAGGGAGCTGATGGGAACCAAGACAGCAGGGAACGTTTTATTCAGTATTATTTTTTACAATTGGTAGCATTTGAAAGTCTTTATCAAAACTAATATAAACATATAATTTCGGGTCATTTGAAAGAGCTTAAACATTTATTTTGATTATTAAAAAGAAATGTTAAGACAATACATTTTGAATGAAATGTTGTGAATGCTTAACTTTAATGTGAAATATACTGTAATAGCATATTTGCTGAGTAAACATCAATGTGTTCTACACTGAGGTGGGTAGAGTACCAAAAAATTGTACTCAAGTAAGCGTAGCACTACTTCAATACATTTTTTACTCAAGTAAAAGTAAAAAAATAGCTGTCCAAGGAATGACACAAGTAAGAGTAAAAAAAATTTGGTAAAAAGCCTACTCAAGTACTGAGTGACTGATCAAGACATAAATTCTTTAATATTTAAAAATAATAAAAATATAAAGCTATATGGAAATTTTGGTGTTTTAAAGATTAAAATGAAAATAATTAATACAAATAACGTAATTACAAAATTACGGAGCCCGCAAGGGGACATGGGGATTTTTTTCTTTTGCGTTCCCACGCATTACCTTTGCATTACCTTGCAATACTTTTGTGTTACCTCACAATACATTTGTGTTATCTCACAATACTTTTGTGTTACCTTGCAATACCTTTGCATTACCTCACGATACTTTTGCATTCCCACACAATAYCTTTGCGTTAACTTGCGATACTTTTGTGTTACCTCGCAATACCCTTGTGTTACCTCACAATAGTTTTGTGTTGCCTTGCAATGCCTTTGTGTTGCCTTGCAATGCCTTTGTGTTACCTCACAATACCTTTGCGAGACCTCACAATACTTTTGTGTTACCTCACAATACCTTTGTGTTACCTTGCAATACTTTTGCGTGACTTCGCAATCCCTTTGCGTTGCCTCGCAAATGTTTGCATTTCCTCGCAATATAGTTTTGCTTTCCCATGCAAAAGTTTGTTTTTCATGAACTGAATTAAATCAGACTTTTATTTTGAAATATCCAGTTACCAAAAACAGGATGTGTTGCCACAAAGTCAGGAAAGTGACAGTGACATTTTGTGGCTGCACAGTGTTAATTTATCTGCGTATCAAATATTTTCATGCGTGTGTGATGCATTTAATCCAAAGCTGAATTAGAGCAGTAGACTAACACCCATTTCGTTAGCATGTGAATTTGTTATTAAACCGGCAGGCATAACAATAATAAATGGCTTAAGCGAGTTAACGCAATAGTGGGAACGCAAAAGAAAAAAAATCCCCCCATGTCTGCTTGTGGGCTTCGTACAAAATAACAAATTCAGGCAAAAGAAACATTTTTCCAAATCAGTTTCTTCAATATAAAATGCATGAAACTAACAAAAACTGCAGGTATTTGTGTGTCTGGTGAACTTTTGGTGAAAACAAACTTGTTCTTCATTCTGTGAAGTTACTCAAAGTATAGAGTCTCCAGAAATTTTACTCAAGTAAGAGCAGCGATACTACACTATGAAATTAATCAAGCAAAAGTAAAATGTATAGTGTATTAAAAATACTCCTAAAAGTAAATTTTTTCCAAAAGGTTACTCAGGTAAATGTAGTTACTACCTTACTCTGGTTCTACCTGTGTCTCTGGTGTGAGATGTGCAAGCCCGGTTGCATCCACTGATTTCATTGCAAGGTGTTACCACCACGCTGTAGGAGCTATCGCAGCTGAGGTCAGAGAGGGCGCAAGCCGGCGCTGTGTCGTTACAAAGGATGTCCTCGGAGCTGTCCACAGCCCGGGTCTCGTAGAGCTCTGCTCCCCGTGAAGCAATCCAGGTGATCTCCAGAGTGTCCGTGCTCACAGCGGAGACGGAAACACTTTCAGGACAGCAGGGTACTGAAACACACGGAACAACGCGTTAATCTGAGCGTAAACTCTGACTGAGATCCCTCTGTTACTCACCGGTGGTGTAGTTCAGAACTTTTCCTTTAGGGCTGCTGCCAGCTTTATTGTATGCGAACACCGACATCAGGTAGGTGTCGCCACACTGGCAGCGGTAGGTGCAGTTGTTGCCGGTGGTGGTGCAGGGCACTTCGCTTCCGTCACCTTTCTTGATGAATGCCACGTAGCTGTCGGCGTAAGGCACTGCGTTCCACGTCAGTGTGCAGTTTTCGTCTGATGACTTCACGAGAGCTAGAGACCCTGGAGGGCAGGGGACTGACGGCACAAGACAGATTGACGTTACAGTTTGTATCTTATTTTAAATTTGAAACTATAGCATTGAGGACATTTGTTTTGGACTGGTTGATCATATTCAAATGCCAGTCCGCCCCTGTCCCCCCAAACCTAGCCGGTCGAGGCAGATGACCGCCCATTCTGCTGGAGATTTCTTCCTGTTAAAAGCATGTTTTTCCTCTCCACTGTCGCCACTGTGCTGCTCAGGATGGAAGACTGTGATCAAGTGAATATTCAATGCAATCTGCTGGCTTCCTTGGATCGATTGTTCTTTGCCCTGAGGCGACGCTTGCTGTGGCTTGACACTATACAAATAAATGTAATTGAATGCAGTGCTATTCGTTACTCACAGGTGGTGAAGACCACTGGGGTGGATGGGTTGCTGGGTCCGCCCTCGTTGATCGCAGTGACCTGGATGGTGTGAACTTGTCCACAGCCCACTGGAGACAGGGTACAGGAGCCGGTGGTGCTGTTACAGGTTACGCCCTGGTCACTTGTTACGTGATACATAAAAAACTCCAGTCCAAGTTCCCAGGACACGGAGAGTCCTGCCGTGTTGTTACTCGTCACCACAGACACGTTGACAGAAGATGGTGTTGGAGGTCCTGAAAGATAACGCATGTTATGAAACCCAAAAAAGAACAGAAGTTTTAATTTGTTGTTGTTTTTTTTTTGTCTACATTCAGACTAAACTTTATTTTAACTTTATTGGAACATTTTTCTGTTTCAAAGTTGTCTATTAGTATCCTCAGAAAATACATTTAAAATTAGTTTTATTTTAATAAACTATTACACAGAAATATTTAAATTGCTGCATTCGAGGTGCACAAAGGAGCGTTATCGCAGATCCTTCCTCCCAGCAGCTGTCAGACTCTATAACCAGCACCATGCCCAAAAATCATAAGTGTTTACACACCTGCTGCCTACACAATCATTTGTACTGTTATTGTTCATTGTCATTACTCATCTGAACAATCATTTGCACTACTACGCATTTATATTACTAATCTGAGCAATCAGTTGCTCTGTTATTACCCATTTTCAACTTTAAAAATAGTTCTGCTGTATTTGCACATCTGTTTGTTGCAATTGTTTTTTTCACTGAAAATAGGCAAATTCTAAAATCTAATGTCAAATTCTGAGCGGTAACTACAGTCACTAAAACAATCCATGTATTTTTTGTTCTTGCACAGTCCTTTATACTATATTTTTATTTGTAGTAGTAGTATCATTGCTAGTTAGTAATTTCATTTTTTGTGCATTGTCTATAATTTGTAAACTAGTGTGTGAACCTCTGAACTGAAGCTGCTGTGACACCTGAATTTCCACACGGCGGCACAATAAAGGCTATTTCTATTCTATTCTATTCTATTCTATTCTATTCTATTCTATTCTATTCTATTCTATTCTATTCTGAATTAAAAACTGCAGTAAAATTAATATTTACATTTTACTTGACACAATTACAAACCCCTAAAAGCAAAGATGCAGTAAGTGTCCAAGTTTAAARAAAAAGTATAAAAAGCACCAAACTTGTGTGAAATCACAAACAGAGGCGTCTCCTTACGTGTTGTTTGGTTGACATACAAACTGCCTTCTCCTATTCGGCCCTCGGGGTCCCAAGCTGAACCTTCAATGCCATAGAACGAACCGGCATCAAGCCCAGAGAAAGTCAGACTGGTGTTGGATGTGTTGTATTTTATCTCGGTGTTTTTCTCAAAACTGTATACAGACACGGTGTATTGGACGGCATAAGCAACAGGAATCCAGGATACCACGATGCTGTCATTGCTGGGAGAGGATGTAGAGATCTGAGGAGGCGGCAACACTGTGGAGAAGAAGTTTTATGAGTTTTACATGTGTCTGATAAAGTGTTAGTAGGATAACTGTGGCCTTTATATCACTTAGGAGCAAAGAAAAAAGATATTGTTAGGAAGACTTTTGATTTCCAACCTACAATTCAAACAAAGCTGGGCTGCTCTTTAAAGGGTCTTTGATATCCAGTTTTAGTAATAAATTCAAATGCTTTTTTGGAGAGATAACATTGATAAACTTCTTGTAAAAAAAAACAATCGCAATACTGAGATGAACAGTTGAGATATTTGCATGTGAAGTAACAGGACGTGATGTCAAAGGGGAATGTCTGAACACAAAAAAGACAAAAACATAAACTGTAAAGAAGAATCTGTTTTTTTTWAATTAATTTGAGTCACTATCAGTGAGAGACGAAGAAGAGTCAGAGTTCAAATGATGTTTCAAAAGACAAATAGCAGAGTTATTTTTCATAGAGTTCCCCTTTGATGTCACTTCCTGTTTCACTTTGGCTGAGCTAAGTTCAAAGGAAAACATGACAAATATTTGACAAAATGGGTAAAATTATACGTATTAAGCAAAGTTGCTTAAATATAAAGATGTGTGACTTTTTGGATTTGAAGGATATACATGTCAGGGCTCATCAGTCCAATGTATTACTGTGTGAAAAGTATCAAATATTCTACAGGATTTTCTGAAATCCAAATGAAAGTATTATCACCATTTTAATCTTATTTAGTCATTGGTTTTGAGTTGAACCCATTTTTCAAGCTTAGTATTTAGTCATTCTTACAACAAAGTATCAGGGCCACACAACAATTTTTATGAGATCAAAGTCACAATATTACAAGAAAAATGTGTAATCTTACATGACATTATATATATATATATATATATATATATATATATTCTGTTCCTGGGTTGGCTTGCGCCCACTGTGGACAGCCTCCAATGTGCGTCTGTGTGTTTACGAATCAGTTTGATTACTTTTGGGTCAGTATCAATGCAGGCATTACTGTAGCAATGCCATACAGCTGCAGTTTATCATTTGAATCCATGTAGTCATTTGCACAATCGTTTCAAAGTCCTGCTACCAATGATAATTTGATGCTGATCAGTTATAAATTGTAAAATTGATACCTGAGTATAACTAAATGACATGCTCAACATTCCTCATTTTGGTGCAGTGATAAAACTTCTCATAATGTGATGGCTTTTTTCTCATAATATTATTTTATTCACAAACGATTTTTTTCACAATGTTATCACCTAATTCACAATATCTTATGAGTTTAATGTAATAAAAAAAAGTCTTGTCTGGCCCTAATACTTTGTCATAATACATGTTTCACACAAGATGAGTCAAAGGAATTTAAAGAGATTAAGTGTTTGGTCTTAATTCAGATCTAGGACACAGCAACGTTAGATATATGACATGAGATTTATGATGTGAAACTTAATATAAAACTGTGGAACTTATTGTTACATRTTTTTTTGGATCTTAAGGATCAAATGTTCCTTTCAGGTGAAAATGGAGATCTGAAAACTGTGTTTTAACAATGAGGTTTTCTTTATGTATTTTTCAAAGAGGAGCTCAGGTAAAGTTACAGCTGATACACGAGAAGGCCCTCGGGGATGCTGACACATTTCTTGAATAAAAAAAAGTAACTTTGATATGGATTGACGATGTGTGTATACAAAACTATGTTGAAGTTTTGTGTAACAGTGTGTGTATCCATTAACTTCTGCAGGGCAGTTGAAACTTAAGAGAGAACCCTCTGGGTTTCTTAATAAAAATGTGTTAATAGAGCAGGTCCTGCGCGTTCTTTTTTCTTGTGTTTTGTTTCCCAGCTGTGGAGGATGAGATGAATGTAACGTGGCGAACAACAATACCTGTCTTTGCAGTCACAGGGATTGACGGCTGACTCCGGCCAACGCTGTTGGCGGCCATGATGCTCAGCGAGTACTCTGTGTACGGGCTGAGGTTTTTAATCTCGGCAGGGGAGGAGGTCACGCTGTCCTCTCTGAAGAAGCCATTCGTGTTCTCAATGCGTATGACGTAATAAGTTGCCCCCGTCTGCAGGTTAAACTCTGCCATCAAGGTCCTGCTATCTTTAGGCTTGACAGTCTTGATGGGTTCCATCACATAAGGGGCTAAAACAGTGACAAACATGAAATGTCAGGGAGAATATATCTCAAATCTGCTCATTTCTTTTAGAGTTCAATCTTTACCACATCATATGATAGGTACCTTAGCAAAAAAACTACATTTACTTTATTCTGTGAGCACTTGGTTACAAACACTTTTTCAGAAATGCAATTTCTTGTATCAACTTTTTGTACAAATTAGTCATAAAAAACATCCTAAACTGTAATTGTTTTAAATTATAAACCATGATCAAGACAATGAAATCAAATAATGAACGTAAACAAAGTATACCTCACCTGTTAACGTCTCAGTAGATGTGGCGCTCAGTACTGTCTGGGAAGCATCCAGAGCTTCAACTGTAAAGATATACGCAACATCTTGGGACAGGGAGGTGATGGAGCCCATCACTGTGTTTGGACCATAAGTGGCAAAAGCAAAGGGGCTGTTTGGGGAGCTGGTCAAGGCGGCGGAGATCTTGTACGAGGCCGCTCCAGAATACTTGGTCCATTTGAGATACACAGTCTTGGATGTTGTAGAAAACACCGAGACTTGGAAACCTGAATGACAGTAAAGCAAGGTGCAGATTATTACAAGTATGTTCCATATATATGATGAAGCAAATAAAATATATATGTATGAAACATTTATAATGAGATATAGTTAAGAAAAAATCCAGTACCTGATTGTGCTGCAGTCTGTAAATTAAAAGGAGAAAATATTATGAGCATGTAAAAGTTGTACATAATTTCAAACAAATCAAACTTTTGTTTTCCGTACATTTTAAACGTCACACTTTCATATTATTTACTTATAAAAGCAAATTTGAAAATATCCCACTACTGTACCTGTGAGCAAATGCTCAGGAAGACAAAAACCACCTGCCACGTCATGCAACCCATTCTTGATTTGAAGTTCTTCACTCAGTGCCTCTCAACGCTAATTTTATTTCTTAAAAGCACATCTCTTTTTAAGATTTTTCCTTTTCTTAAAGTGAGTGGTGTCTGTACCACTAGTTAAAATATGCCAGTCTAGCTCCTCCTGCGTTGGAACAAATGTCCAATCATGGTAAAGCAAACTCATGACAGTTGAACAGCATTTAGCTACAGGTGTGAAATTCAATAATAAAATATAAAGCCATCGCTTGTGACACTTGTATGTGACTGGAGGTGGTGAGATGCTGGATTTCCCCTCTACTGGAAGGTTCAGATTATTTTCATACTGTGGAAGTAAAAAAAAAAAAAGACGAAGAAAAAAAGACAATTTGCAGTCATAAACTGTTAAATAAAATGACCTTTTCACATAGTCACACCCACATACACAACATACAAATATTAAATAACAAACTACACACACACACACACACACACACACACACACACACACAC